GGCTGGGTTTCGGGGGGGGGGGGGGCGTGCGTGGCTGTTTGCCCTGGAGTGAACTACCGCGCGGCAGCGGGATCAAACGTCACGCCGACGTCCCGTGGTGGTGGTGGGGAGGTGCCGATCATATGTCACTCCTGCGTCGCGGCCAAGAAGCGGATTGACGGGGTTGTTTTTTTTTTAACCCAAGTGTTCGCATGCTCCGTTGGGTGCTTGTGCGCATCCGATGGAGACTTGGGGGGGGAAAAAACCTTTTCGCGACGGGACATGGGCAAGGGCCGGATGCCACCGGAAACGTGATCAGACGCCCGCCCTTGCCCCGCGGTTTCCAGAAACTAGTACCTTGGAGGTACTAGTTTTTTACCCCGCATCTTTGGCGGGAAGCCTCAGGTGAGCAACGGGAGCTCTACGCTTCCCAGATGTGGCACTGTGATCGCGCCCGGAAAATCCGCCTATCTTCTGTCTCTGTAGCGTGGCTAATGCTCCGTGTGACCGCAGGCATAGAGAGACAAGCGGATCTTGATAGATATCCTAAATTCAGAGTGCCTAATCAAATTAGATATCGTTCAGTCCCAATGGCATATTTAACACACCTTGATATAATAAGTGTAGGAAAGCCTTCACACTAGCTAGATGTGAGGCTCTCCCCTCTGCAGTGCTCGAGGGCAGATATAGAAGAGTTCCCCTTGCACAGAGACTTTGTAAATGTGAGTCTGGGGAGATAGAAACTATTGAACATATGATGTTTAAATGTAAGTGGTACAATGAGGCTTGAGATAGATTAATTCAAACTCTCATTAAAGAGAGATGCCTGGGCAGACAGACTCAGAGTGTTGTAATAAAATGTTATCGGATGAAAATCACTCTGTTACTAAGATTGTGGCTAAATTTTGGGTTGCATTCAAAAAGGACAGCTTAACTTGTAAAATCGCAATTCTCTCCTTTTTAGTGTGTTTTTTTAGTGAATCTGTTATATGTATTCTATATTTTTATATTGTGTAGTTTGTGATGTTTTATTTTGGTGCCCCTTGGTGGGTTGTTTGGATTGCTCTGGCTGGATGCCATAATAAAATTTCAGTCATTCACTTAGGACACACAGAATTTTCTTACTGCAGTGCTTCTCTGCTCAAAAAAACCACTTTTCCCCTAGTGGAAGAGATCTTCCACCTGCAGAAAGGAATCATAGAATCCAACCTTAGGTTTTAAGATAGAACCACTGCAAATATGTTGTTCATTTACTGCTTGCATATATGCAAGTTTGCTTTTATATGGACACTAGGCACAAGGCCCGTTGCGGGAAGAGAGGCAACGAGCCCTAGAGAGAGGCCGCCGGAGGGCCCCCCCACGGACTGGCAAAGGAGAGCGTGGTGGCTCCCCGGTGGCCAGGCTTGCGCCTCCCCTCACCACATGCTGGAGGCATCAGGGCAAGCCAGCTGGCCTCGTCCCTCCTCTGTCAATGCAGTGGAGGAGGTCGCTGCTGAAGGCAGCAGGCCTCGCCCATCCACAGCACTGTGCGCTGGTGTCAGCTATGCTGCCATGGAGTTGGGATGTTCTGTCAGTGTCTGTGTAAATTGCTTTTGCATTCCTCTCTCTCCTTTGCACTGAAATGCTTATCTGCAGCCCTCTCATGAGGCCGGAGCTCTCCGAACCCCCGATCCGGGTGTGACCAGCTCAGGGGTGGGGCGATAACATGACCAAGCCCCGCCCCCTGCTCCCTTCTCGGTTCGCTTGCCTCAGCGTGCAGGCAAGGAGGGGGAAGGAGGTGTCTGGGCAGCCGCTCCAGCTCGGCTGCCTCGGAGGTCCTTCGCCTGGTGAGGAAAGCGTGGCGCAGCCACTTTCCCCCTCCCCGAGTGCAGCTGGGGCCAGCTGAGGGAACCCCCAGTCCCCGAAGAAGGGTGCGCAGCTTCCCCAGCCCAGACTGCAGCAGGCAAGGGAAGCGCGACGCGACCGCCTCGGCACCTCTCGCCCTCCACGGCCGTGGCCGTCTCTCCACTGGCTGCCCGCCGCCCATTCCAGGGCCGCACGGGCCAAGATGGCGAGGCTCGTTCCTCCCACCCAGCCAGCCAGCCAATGGCACGCCAGTTGCCCCGAGCAAATGGCTAAGGGAGTGCATTTTTTCTCGCCACCCCATAGGATGGTGGCCACCCCAAAACACAATTATTATAAGGAGAAATAATTTGATCTATAAACAATCTATATGGACATAATTCTCATTTTGCACACTGAGTGCTTATCTCTGAAGTAAGTGGAAAATTTTGTACCGGCAGCAGGCCTCTCCCTCAACTACTGAGACTGTTGAACAGTGGCTTATTTGGAGCAATCTCCAAAGTGTCCATGTTTGCTTGAATTCTCTTGCAATTAATTGGGGGAATTAATTGGGGGCTTAAACATGTCTTTCTATGGATTGTGCCTTGTAAAACTTGTATATATTTTTTCCTGAATAGGATGATGACTGGGGCAACCTTAAAATAAAACCTGTAAGTATTGAAAGCCAGTTCTAAATTATGCTGTCTTATTTTTTTACTCTTAGGCTATGAATGGAGCTGATGCTTATTTTTTTAAATATTAGAAACCATCAAGGCTTGACTTCATTGTTGATGCTACTCATGTGATTATTTTTCCAAAACTTTTCTGCGGGGAAAAAGTGGTATAAATTTTCAGTTGCATTAGGTTATGACTGTATTATTCTCTCCACATGCTGACATGTAAGCAGTGGGCTATTGTTGCTGGGAAAGCTGTTATCAAACCTCTACTTAATCCTAATTTTTTATATAATAGTGAACTAGGGCTTGATCAAACAAGAAGTTTTGAATCAAGATTCACATGCAAAGGACGTTGGGGGAAGAAGGGGGGTATGAAAGCACAGTAAAGGAGCTGAGTTTGTTCATGACATCAGTAAACCTCTGCTTAATATCAGCCATTTGCGATGTCTGAATACAGCTTTTGGCAGATGCAACATTTTAAGGCATTAAATGGCATATTCTAGGGGCATAGAGGGGCTAGGTTTCTAAATTAGTATTAGTTTAAGAAATTGAAAGATTCCGGTTGTGTGCTACAATTTTGTGACTGCCTCTTTGCTTGATTGAGTGGGTTTTTTTTAGCCTTTGTTAACTTGAGTAATTTTTTTAAACAGGGGATGACCTTATTAATGATGGGTTCTGCAGATGCTCTACCTGAAGAACCAGTAGCCCGGCCTGTCTTCGTAGAAGATATGACAGAAGAACAGTTAGCCTCAGCAGTAAGCCTTTTTTTGGTCAAAAGTCTGAATGTACTGTCTGGCATCACTGTATATTTAGTTTAAAAACCACATGTTTTGCATTATCAAACTGATTTTTCCAAGATCCAAAGAACATGAGTTGGCTTTAGATAGTTTTGTCAAATAACTCTTTATTGCCTTAGAACAAACGCTAATCAAAGTGGAAAGAAGTTTCATAATAATTTTGTGATGCAACTTTACAAATGCAGAGCCTAGCATGAGCCTGTAGTAACCTCTTTCTTGGACAAGGCCTTACTGTGCAAAACCATCCTTCTCTTTCTGTCACCCTTGCCCTCTAAACAAAATAATAGATTTTGCATATTAAAAGCCATGCTTAAGAAATAAACATCATGAAAGCTGTGGAAATGTATGTTTTACTATTTGGGGCTTCCATGTCTCTAAACATAACCCAGGTATGTGACTGTGAAATTTGCTACTAAAGGGAACAAGCTGGGGGCTACAAGGAATAAGTGGGAGGGATAAACATTTTTGAAATTTGTACCTGTTTTCACATATATACACACATGCTCTTTCACTTACAAACCCTCTCCTCTGTAATTCTATCATCCTGAGACTTGAGCAAGCCAGTTTCCTCAACTGACCATCAGCAGTTCTGAATATTTCCTGCCTCCTGTAGCATGTACTGTTTTCACCCAGCTATGTTAAGAGGATTTTTCTTTCCTTGGTTTATGTGCAAAGAACATTTTTTACATAACTGGGCAGTCCTCTGAATGTCTTTACAACTTTATCTGTAGGTGGTCTAATTCTGGTTCTGTGTGATTGCAATGAGTCACCCAATTTACTATTAGTAATGAGATAGAAGGATCTTCTAAATGTCCTCATTGTACCAGAAACCACACTAGATGGTTGCTCTTTAATGATACCTCAATAAAATAATAACTAAGAAAAATAATGACTAAGAACTAAACTGCTAGTATTCTGTTAAGTATAAACTTTTGAGGTTTGGACCATCATGTTTGTGTTAAACTGTAGGGTCATTATGTTAAAACAACTGGTTCATTTCTAAACAGTAGCATTTAATACCAATCTTCAAGTAGTCCTTTTCTTTTCTTCCTTTTTTTAATTTGGTGATAGATGGAATTGCCATGTGGTTTAACAAACCTTGGGAATACTTGTTACATGAATGCAACAGTTCAGTGTATTCGCTCTGTGCCAGAACTGAAAGAGTCCCTGAAGAGGTAGGTTTCATTACTGTAATATGTTGTGGTGTTATTAAATGCTTTTTTAATATTACCATTCAATTTATAATGAAATAGTAAGGATTATGACCGGTATGTTTGATGATTGGGAGGGGGTTTATATAGATAACATATATTTAAACTTTTCCATTCTCTGATTTGTTGGTGCTAAAATGGAACAAATAAAAGTTAGTATTGGAATTCGGATAGCTCGGTACAAAATATGAGCTGCCTTTCTACAAATAGATTTGTGTCGAGACTTACGGACTCTACATTATGTAATCATTTAGGAAGCTGTTTTCTATTAATTTCATTCTAGAAACTTTTTCAGTGTCTTGTTTGCTTTTAACTAATTTTCGGTATGGTAGCATATTCATACTTAATGTTACTTCTGTGTGTTCTTTACTGCAACTTTGCTCCTGCACTTTGAATTCATCAAGAAGCAGAATAGGCAAAGGTTAGTCTTGCCAGCAGATTTCAGATGAAGGAATCAATCCACTTCTATATAATTCCTAATATTTTTAACCATTCCAGAAAGGAAAGTATTTAGCTCTGCTATCTTTTATGATCTCACTGTTTTTTCAGGTCTTTGGCTTTTAAATGTAGTCTTAATTTTTAGAATGCTTTGAAATTTCTCTTGGGAAATTAATGATAAAGATAAGTCATGGTCGTGCCATGACTCTGTGTACCCTGCACCCAATAGTCAAAGTTGTCCATAATATAATATGCAGTCAGAGAAGCTGAATTTTACACAGCTGCTAGCAGGATTTGGAGTTAAGTATTATTTTGGAAACTACCTTTTGCGTGAAAGAGGAGGTAGCAGAGATAATACCATGGGAGATAGTGGCATCCATAGAGGCATGAATGGCATTCAGACATTACTTGGTGAGGTCAGGCATGATGGGCCTCAGGATCCTGTACTCCAGCCTTATTCTCTTCACTGCATATAGAAAGGAATGACAGAACTGGACAAATCCTGCAGTTACTTGAGTCTGAAATTTCCTTGGACCCAAAGAACAGAGGTTTTGCATAGATTCTCAATTCAGATAAATTTGCTGTCTCCCTAGTTAAGTCATTCACTTCTGCATACAGTGATGGCCAGGGGACTACATATGTAAGCTCCAAACCCATTTTATCACAATGGATACATTTGAGAGGGGGTTATAGTAATGTGTGAATCAGATCTGAAGACTTGTGCTGTGATTGGGTATGCATCCCCCCCACACTCTTTAACAGGCAGTAGATGACAGCTCACTGCTTCTGCCATGAAACTTCACCTGTTTAAACATACTGATGGTAACCTTCTCAAGATAATGGAATGCACTGCCATCGCAAGGTACTTGCAGAAGCAGATTTATCCCACCTCACCCTTGGCCAGCAACTACCTGTGAGCCTCAGTTTTGGGATCCATGTGGATAAAAATCCATGCAAGACAGGCAGCTGCACTGAGTAGGGCAGAGTATGGAAACACTGCCTCTTCTTTGGGTGGCGCTTCTGTTGTTCTGTAGGCTGCAGTCCATCATACTTGTGATCCAAGTGCATAAATGATATGCGGTCTAGTTAAAGCCCATGTTAACATTGTTTTTGTGTCTCCTGCTCTGATTGCAAGGCCAAACTGAAAACCATGTTTTAAACATTTGTTTAGATACGCTGGTGCCTTAAGAGCCTCGGGGGAAATGGCCTCTGCTCAGTACATTACTGCAGGTTTGTATTTTTTCACAACAGGGCTGAGTTTCCTACTTTTTAAAAACCGGATGATAAAGACTTCTTTGTTTTGTTCATAAGGCACTGTTTCTAGCTTACCTTTAATGCTGCATGATATACCAACTAGTTACATTTGGACATCACAATAAACAGATTTTTGTGACATAGGAACCATAAAGGCTTGTGGGTTGATGCCAAACCACTATTTTAAACACGGGTTTACTGCTGGCCTATGAACCAGCGTTTGGCTGCCTAGCCAAAAAAACTATCCACTCCAGAATTTTTTAGTATTTGCTGAAACTCCACCCCCCCCCCGCCGCCCTTTCTCTCTGACTTCCCTCCTTTGCCTCTTCTCTGTGTATGCATTCCAGTAATGGTGATAGATTCAAAGCCAACAGTTATTGAATTCTTCCCTGATGGGGGGAGAAGTACATACACGCTAACTCTCCTTATTTCAGAAATGGTTCATATCCTAATCTGTGTAGAGTAAGCCAGAATGTTTATGGTTACTCAGAAGAAAACACTTTGGTGTTACAATTCATTGAATGCCTGTACCACAGTGTAAAATATTCTTGTTCTAAGAAATGTGTGTTGCTTTACACTGGGTGAGTGTTCAGTTCCCCAATGCCTGTCTTAGTGTTTGGAGAGCTGCGCTACTTCCTTGACTGTCTTTTGTGACTGTCTACCTTGGGTCACCAGTGTTGTGCCCATGGGCACCATGGTGCCAGCCAGCACTGTTCCTGGTGCCTGCCAGATATTTTTAGAAAGTGGGAGGTGCCAGGTAGGAAGTTTGCCAGCAAAGCTTCTGACTGGCCATTGAAGATTGATTGGCTTTGCAGGTTCTTTTTTTAATGGTGATGGTTGGGTAATTTTGTGTGTGGTGAACACTGAAGCTGGAATTCTGGAATGATCAGAATGACGTTAACTCAATTCACATCTTTTTAATATTCCTTTGACTTATCACAGGTATTTTTTACTCTGTGGTTTGACAGTATATGCTCCTGAATTCCAGTATGTGATTGTTATTGGGTAAGATTTGCACTGGGGGAGAGAGCCTCTCAATGCAGTGTTAATTATCATGCTGGATTTTGAGTGTGCAAGCTTTTCTGAGCAACTGCTGCTTCACTCTCTCTTTCATTATGAATATCCATGGTGGCTAGAGCCTCAGTGGTTGAGGATGGCAGCGTGGACATTAGAAATCCTGTATTGATGTCTAACATCCTGAGAATGTTGGGGAGGGGAGGGAAATTTATCAGAGTGCAAACACCTTGGGAGGCAATAGGAATCCTCATAATGGTTACTCTTACAGCCGCATATATTGCACTCGAACACACATGAAACTATAGGGAGGAGTGTGTGCTTGTTGGATGTGATAATTATGAATGACAGCTGTAACAAATTAATTAGTGTGCAGTTAGCATGCTAAAACAAACCTGTGCGTGGTCACAGTCTAGGATCCCCATCTATGTACATATACCGGATGACATCCTACCATTCCATGTGCAGCAGGTGTAATTCTCTTGCAGTCTTCCTCAGTCCTGCACCTCTTTCTAAAGGACTTTCATAGCTGTTCCCCTGCATAGATCTTGCAACTCCATGAGTGGTCTTTCCAGGGGTCAGAATGTGCTGTAGCAATGGAGGGGAACGTGGGGGAACCCTGTGTACCTTCTGCACAATGGTGGTAAGAAACTGCCTACCATCTCCCTTGCTAATTAGGGATTATATACTATATGCTCCATCTCCAGCAGTCTCCAGTGCTTGCTGGTCATTTAAAGAGGCTTTTCTTTTAATATGCTGTTCAGTTGGTGATCCAGCAAGGAGAATATGTTTTTAATAACTTATTTCAGAAACAAATAGAGTTCAAGGAGAACAGTTAAACAACAGGAGAGGACATGGGAGGGGTGAAAGTTATAACTGCAGGTAAAGGTAGGATGTGGACAACAGCCTGAAGATCTCCCCAGAGGCTTCTTTATCTCCCCGCCCCCCCCCAATTGCTTCAGTTGACCAATTGTAAACCATACACATTGAGGCAGTGACATTTTGCCATCTGTGGGGTAATCAGTGAGCAACCGGGGTAGCATCCAGGGATTCTGGTGCAAGATAGGTGAGAAGGCAGGAATTGTAAATTGCAGTGTCAGCATGAACTGAGACTTGTTTGATACCTCTGGGTAAGCTTACCCATTGTTTGTTCCGTACATCGTTTGTTACAAACCCTGCTTTTTCATGACATCTGAATGCAGTTAAGTGTGTACAGGAGTCCTACTTGCCCACTTTATTTCCTTTTTTCTCCATTGTATTGCCCTGCTAAGGTGCTGGGCCAAGATACTGCGATTTCTACCACTCCACTTAAGAAATAACAAAAGGAAAGTTTTGGATATACCTACTGTTATCAGACTTGTAGAACTGCCTGACTCTTCCATTCCTAAAATACTGATTTTGTGTTCTCTAAGTAATTTTTGAAGTCACTGTTGTGAAGTCTGAGGTATTAAGATGCAGTGAAGTGCATCGGAGAGTCCCCAAAACCATGATGACTATTTCCATAAGAGAAGGGCAATAAAATGCAGTAGAAGGTCAAAGGCGGGAAATGGGTTTTAGCCCAGAAGTGGCCATTTGGCTTAAATGACAAGAGGGAAGGAAAGGTGACTGTTCGAAAACATGATCTGTGGTACGGAGCATGAGGTACGTGACATCTAACCTGTCGGGGGAAGAATTTGGGAGTTTCTCCCACGCGGGCAGGAGCCCTAAATCTAGATTGAGTAAGGTACCTACCAAAGCAGGTAGAAGGTTTAAAAGGTGGAATCTCCGCTTTGCCCAAATGTTGTGACTACACAATGGGACCCAGGCTCCTCTGCAAAAGGAGCAGGAGGCGGGCTGGGGTTTTATTTGCTCCACAGCAACCAAGTGGGCTGTCAGAGGTAATTGTCTTCTACTGTAACTTAGCTATACTTACAATTTCCTATTCCCCCCCCCCTAGAACTGTAGCTACTAGACAGCTATTTTCCACATGCCTAGATTGCACACACATGTGCTAAGAACAGGGGGGCTAAAGTAATTTGCAAGTTCTGCCATTTGTACTTCCTCAGAGGCAGTCTTACCAGGGTACCGCAAGGTACTGGTTACATGACATGCTGAGTTTTTGTAACTTGGGGTGGTGGTACAAGAAGAGGGAACACCCTTTAACATGCATGCAAACATGCAACACGCAAGTAAGAATACACGGACCCAGGGTGGTTTTTGTGACAGTTACTACTGTTTTCTGTATAAAAACTTAAGTATATTTTCCATTTGCTTTTTTGTATCCTTCTAATTAGGATATCTGAAACGATGTAGCACAGTTCATCCAACTCTCTTGTTATAATTCCTCCTGATATTTTTGACACAGATATTAAAAAACAGAACTGGTCATAATACCAGTTTTCCTTTTTTAGAGATGTATATTTTTTGGTATATAATGTGTTTGGCTGTTTCCACATGGATGTTTAGCTTTGCCTTGGTTTTCTTATAGCAGTGGCACTGTGTTTGAGAGCATCTACATGACATCATCCTCTATTTGTCTTTCTTCTGTGCTGTTCTCTGCTTTGGCATGAATTTTCCTAAATCTTGTTTGGGATATTTTTTGAAACACCACAATCAAAATAACTTTGTGGACAGGAAGGTGTACCTTTTTTCAGATCCTGTCCACGTTTGTGCCATTTTCCTCTGCTCTGCCCCTGCAGCTGCTGTTCTGTATCCCACATGGGAGGGCTTTTTTAAGTGGTAATTGCTAGACCACTTTAGCAGTTTTTTGCAACAGTGTGGCAGCTTTCATTTAAAAATATGTCTTGGTTTTTTTGGGGCGGGGGGGGAGTGCTAGCTGAACATTTCCCTCTTATAACTGCAAGGAAAGGAGTTAGTGACTTACTTTGAAAATGAAAACTGGGAACCAGCACATTGATGCAGTAGTATTTTATTTTAAAGGAAAAGGCCTCCTGTAAGTGTGGGGGAAATTGTGGCTTCAGTGGGCTATGGCAAGGGAAGTGTGAGATAAACTGCTGTATGGAAGTTCTTGTTGCTATGAGAGCTATACAGAATCAGCTCTTTATGAAAGCTGTGTCTTCCTAGACATGTGTTCAGTACTTAAATGTAAAGTTAGCAAAAACAAGCTGGATGACATACATTGCTCAACAGAATCGGCCAATGTGTCACATGTTCCACTCTGCATGCCCATTTGAGAGTTCAGATCAAGTCTGATGTGGATAAGACTCTCGTCATGCTTAGAACCTTTCTCATCCTTACTGGAGGGGCAGGTACACCCATGACTTGAATGGACTGTCAGTTTCCTGCATAGAAGCCTACCCTTTAGACCATTATACTTAAGGTGCCACTGGATTACAGTGTGTGTGTGCATTTCCTTTCTACACTTCTGTGTCTTTTGTGTTGTGTTGCAAAATTAATCCAGAAAGCCTTGATACAGGCAAAATATAGAGCATGAAAATACTTATCTTTGTTCCTAGAAACCCTTGAACTGTAATTTAATCATGCGCCCCCTCCTAACCAACCCCACCAGCATAGTGCTTTTTACGCACCATGAAGCCTTGAACCTGATGCTGAGCAGATTTCCCAGCCTACATATTCAAGCTAAGAGAACTCGCAAGAAGGGGGGGGAGGGGTTTTGACTGCTAGCTGGGTTGGAACCTACTGTTTGTGGTGTTAGTAATCAGTAACCTTTTTGTGCTTGAATAGGTAACATATACTTTGTTTCCAAAGCGAGAAGTTAGAATTGGGTTTAAAAGATCAGAATGCCATGCTGCTAGGGTGATCTTAAGTAGTTTTTTATCGAGCTGTTTTTCAAGTTCTTAGTAGCAACTGGTATCTGGCCCTTACATAGTAAGCTTCCCCGTGCAGTGTTTTACTGTATTAGCAGCTGACCAATCTATTAAGCCTGTTTCCGGAACGATTGGCTGTACAAATGATCCCTAACTGAAAAGCTATGATATGGGTTAAATAGGGGTGGCATTTAGGGGTGTATTTATCATATGAATTAGCAGTAATCCTTCATGATTTTTCATTTTTTTAAAAGAAAAACACTTTTCTCTTATTTTTAAGCTCTTAGAGATTTATTTGATTCCATGGACAAAACCTCCTCTAGTATCCCTCCCATCATTCTCCTCCAGTTCTTACATATGGCCTTTCCCCAGTTTGCGGAGAAAGGGGATCAAGGCCAGTATCTCCAACAGGTAATTTTTTTTTTTTTTACTTTTATCAGGCAGCAAATTTCTAGCAAGAATTCATTTGTTATTCTTCTAGTCCCAACTCATTACAGTTATGAGCCAATAATTTAGTAGTAACCTACATTCAGCTTGTGTGTGTGAATGCAACACCTTTTTTAGTGTGATTTCTTTAGAAATTTATCTTTATTTCAGGTACTGCTGAATGAATGAAAAACACTTGCGAATAACAGTTCAGCTTCATAGTATTTGTAATTTGCTCTTAGCACAGGTGTTTAAGGTATATTTGTTAATGAGCAGCTCTAAGTGCCTCAGATACTAGTTTTTGTTCTGCTTCCCTCCCAGGATGCCAATGAATGCTGGGTACAGATGATGCGAGTGCTACAGCAGAAGCTAGAAGGGATCGAAAGTGACACGGTTATGGAAGTACGTCTCTTTGCTGTACAATCCAAACAACACTGATACTAATCCTGTGGTCTCAGCCAATTCTCTGTCTACCCCTCCCCCTCAAAAAGTAGCTGTTATTGCTTAAAGAAAAAACATGTGCCACATTATGGGCAGGCTTCTGGGCTTGCTTGAAGGACTTTTGGCAGTTTGTTATAATCTTGAAAGCATAAATATGCTCCCCCCCATTCTAGTGTGTTCAGTCTTCTTTCTTTCCCATTCACACCAGCTTTTTCATGCAGGAAGTGACTGGCCTTTATTCAGAGCAGCCCACTGGTAGAATTTTTTGCCAGCTGGGCATTTCAACCCACTTCTAATAAACAGAAAGATCCTTAAGGGGTCAGGCATAAAAGAATTGAAAGTCTTTATCCTGTGATGGGAATAAAGGAATTGGCAAGATACTATGGCTTCTAAAGATTCGTAATTAAAAGAGACTACTTTTTTTACAGACTGATTCTGGAGCTTCAGGAGCGGCAGCATCACCACCCAAAACGAAGAGCTTCATTGATCAGTTTTTCAGTATTGAATTTGAAACTGCGTATCCTGCACACTCTCTGGCAAGATAGATGTGGTGTGGTAGATAAAAACTCTACTTTTCACAAGAAGAAATGCTTGTTGAGATTTATTCAAATATAATTGCAGATGGCTTATACTAAAGGGTTGCCAGCGTGGTGCCCACAAGCACCACAGTTCCTGGCACTCCGAGTGTATTAGGGAGTGAGTAGGGGCAGGGAGTGCCCTTGCCCTGGAGGGCTTCTGGCTGGCCACTGAAAATCTGATTGGCTGTTAAGATTACAGTAGCATCTTGGCCAGAGCTGTCACCACAGTGTTGATTTTATTCTTTCCTTTTTCCACAGTACATATATATTTAAATTATATATTTATATAATTTTTGGGCTTCCTCTGTGTGTTTGCAAGACTCTGCCTCCTGCAGCAGCCATTTTGTGGTTGGTTCTGCCACCATATATCAGAATTCCAAAGGTGCCCACAGATTCAAAATGGTTGGGAACCCTGGTTTACACAGGAAAACAAGAAATAGTAAATAGGAGAGGAAATGGTAAGTTTTTAAAAATGCCCCAAGTGGAAGCTACATGAATTCCAACTGTTGGTGTTAAGAGAGGAGGCTAGTTGGTAAAAGCTCGAGCCTGTCTTGTGGTATACAAAAGTGTCCTTTGCTGATACTTTGCAAAAGAGCTGGTCAGTACCATCCAAACAGCTGTCTTAATATGAACATGATTGTTTTGCAGGAATTTTAGTCTGCTGAAATAAAAAGAAGGAAACCTTGTCTCTCAAAGTACTGACTGGCATTCATTTTATTAAGTGCAACAATTTTTAAATGGAGTGCTCCTGCTACTGTTTATCTTTCCTTAACATTATGTAAAGCATGAAATGCACAGAATCAGAAGAGGAAGAAGTAACAAAAGGAAAAGAGAATCTACTCCAGCTTAGTTGCTTTATCAATCAAGAAGTTAAATATCTTTTCACGGGTCTTAAACTGGTGAGCAGTTGTTGTGTCTCTGATAGTGTTGGTTGTTTCTATACTTTACCTTTTTATCACACTTTTTTGTCACATTACTTAGCCTTGGTACTCTTAAAGAGGTGTGCAGCTGGGTTTGAATGTCAAGTTGTCTTGAACGTGTGTATCACCTTCTGATCTCTGTTCTGAGGCACATGTTGCATTATAAATTGCATTTTGATTTTTAACCTTTCCTCTTCTGATCCCCCACAACCCCATGCATTGTATAAACCAAATCTTTAGTGTTGTGTGTTTCCTTTGTATGCTTGAAAACAGGTTCTTGTGGGCTGTTGCGTTTTCTTTTGGTATAGGCACTGTATGGGCTGTGGGAAGATGTGCCAAAGATCTTCATTTGTGTTCTTCCCCTGATCTAGATAGCACAAAAGAGAACTGCACCAGAGAGGAGATGTTCCATTATAGTTTCTTATCCTGCTGAATAATGTCTTCTGCATTTTAGTAAAAGCTTAACTTGATAAATGACCTGGGTGACGTCTAAGGCAAGAAACTAAAGCAGTGACCTGGGCATTATTTTGTATGATATAATGCAATCTTGTGTTTCTCTTTCAGCGGCTTCAAGAAGAAATTACCAAACTCTCTCCTACATTACAAAGGAATGCCCTTTACATAAAATCTGTGAGTAGTATTTGGATGCCAAACACTTAGTTAGACCTCTTTTATATTAGTAAATCATTCTACTTTTGCTGAAATTCAGTGTGGAATGATACAGTTGAAGGTTAAACTTCTTTAAATGGCTATAGATTAGATTTTTTACTAAACCAGATATTGTACATAGAAAGAGTAGCAGTTTAAAGAAATTTACAACCTGGCATCTTAATTCTAAACATATTCACAATGGCCTGGTGCATCATATTTTTCACATAAAACCCTGACTGCTGTGTGTGACTAAATTATACCTCATACATTGGGAGGCCAGAGTGAATAGAATGAGCCAAGTTCAGGAACTGGCTTGCTGCAACATAATGTGGAAGCTTGTGCACATAGTTGCCCCAAGAACCTGCTTGTTTAGGGATAGGGTAGAAATCCTTAAAACAAATTGCATACATGCAGCCTTGTGTTATGTGTGTAGCTGTTGTACATAACTGTTACTCATCTTTTGGTGAACTGTATTTCAGTGCCTTAAGGTGGTACTGTGAATAGCATATTGGACATGCAAAAAAGATGTGTAATAAATTATGGGGCTGTGGTTCAGTGGTAGAGCATATGATATGCGTAAGATCCCAGGTTCAATCCATGGCACTTTCAGTTAAAAGGGGCAGATGTGAGGTGAAAGACTTCCACCTGGAACCCTGGAGATCTGCTGCCAGTCTGAGTAGACAACATTGGCACTGATGGAATAACTGTCTGATTCAGTATAAGGTAGCTTCCTTTGTTCATGTGGGGCAGTGTGCATCTGTGTTGCATAGACAGGTATTCATGGATTCTGATAAATTATCTTCTTGTTTTATTTATATATTCGATTTTTAGTCCAAGATAAGTCGCTTGCCTGCCTATCTGACTATTCAGATGGTTCGTTTCTTTTACAAAGAGAAGGAATCAGTGAATGCCAAAGTTCTCAAGGTGTGTAGCTTTTTAATATTTCTTAAATCTGGTGTTGGGACTTGTGTGCTAGGGCAGATACTAACCACCAGGTGGGGCACAAACAGGCACTCTTCTTTATGAAGCAGTTTCCTTTCAAACTCTGGTGGTCAGGTCACCAGTGTTTTTTTTTAAATATATGGGAACATTTTATACTACAAAAACTGTCTTTCAATGTATCAGACTCACCACCAGAAAATTATAACAAAAAATTGTGGCTGTTTGGTACCCCGTTATCAGTTTTTTGTTAGAAAAATAAATTATTCCATGCAATTTATTCCAATAAATTATTCTAACCAATTGCATTATTATGTATCCAATATCTTATGTTGTGAAATGAAAAAATTGTTAATAAAAAAAAGGTCACCAGTTTTTTGCCATGTAGATGGGAATGAAAGCAAGACCAGAACAGATCATGCAGGCAGTCTGATTGCACGGAGGCGTCTTATTCTAGAATAATTGTCAAACCAGCTGCTTATGATAACCTTATGTTTCGGGCATTTCATGTTTGGGGGTGTTTTGGGCAGTTTTAAGGTTTATTTAAATTATGTGCCTCAGATAAAAATATTACCTCCAAGACATTAAACAGTCATGGAAATGTTTAGTCTTCTTAGGATCCTGTGATGCTTTACGTGAATATTAAGCTTTTCTTTTTGTATCTAGGATGTTAAATTTCCACTTATGTTGGATGTATATGAACTGTGTACACCAGAACTTCAAGAAAAGATGGTCTCATACCGGTCAAAATTTAAAGACCTAGAGGACAAAAAAGTAAACCAGCAGACAAAAAATGTACGTGGCTCAGAATATTTGATTTATGCAGTGCACAAATTTTTCTTTAGATACATGTTTTCATTCATACCTAGTATTGTTCAGATAAACCTAATTAACCAAAACATTAGTTTAGAGTCTTGTAGTCATAATAGTAGATTAACTGGAGAACATGACTTGAATAGTTAGAATTCCTGCTTGTTGAGGAGAGTGGAGTGGCTGTCTACTTGTGTGTAGTGGTGTATATAATGGGTTGTGGCATGAGGGCAAGGAGGAGGAATGGCTAGAAATCTTCCCCTCTCCCATTAGTGTGAATGGTAAGCTCCACAAATGACACTAAACTGGAGGAGTGACATTTATGTTACTGATTGCTGTTTACCAAACAGCATCCCGTGTTGCTCTTTAGCTTCGTTGCCCTTTCCATCATAAGTGACTTTTTGGTGGACAAAGGAGGCTGCCCTGGGATGTGGAAGAATCCCATCCATGAACTTCTTCTCTTGGTTGAATCCAAGTTCTGGAGCTGAATCATTGTCCTTAAGAAACTTAAAAGCCTGTTGCTTAACAGTCCGCTAACTAGGTTTTATCTACACAGTTTGTTAGCCAGACAACCTTGATTTGGAATCCATGGCTTTCAACCAAGGTTTTGAACCTGTCAGTCCATTCATAAGTGTTAATCCTTGCATAAAACATCTAAGTCTTGATTTTAGGCCCGTGTTAAGAAAACCAAAATGAAATATTGCATTGTGATTTAGTTTATAACGGTAGGCTTTTCTGCAAAAGTAAACTGTTGGTCTGTGCAGTGGGGGTTTCAGGTTCCCTTTGCCTGCATGTCTTTTTTCCTATTAAAATTGCACCTATTCTCACCCTTGCTTTACATCTGATGGGGCAGACCTGGGTTTAAATAAGTAGATCTGCTATTATTGTATGCAGCTTAAGCCTTTAAACTTCATACTTTCAGAGATGTCCTTGTTGGGGGAGCAATTCATTGATGATTTAGTAGCATAGTCTCAGTAGCAGTAATATGGCTTTACTAAATTATGTTATTTAAAGAAAAATTTCACTTTTCAGTCTAGTAAAGGTGATGGTGCACCGAAGGAAGTTAAATATGAGCCATTTTCCTTTCATGATGGTAAGTGTCTATTGAAAGACATTTAAAGTTTTGAATTCAACATGCTACCCTATGGCAGTTTTCATAAATGTTCTGTGATGACTCAGAAGTGAAGCTTGGCAGTCTGGAATTCCCATTGATTGCTGTCTGGACACTAGCCTCCGTGTTTCATGATTACACAGCGGAGTGATAGGGCAGACTCTTGCTTTTTATCTTAAGATAGTCTGGGTGCTAGGAACACTTTATGCTTTCATTGCACTCAGTATTGAGAACTGGGTGATGAATTTTAAACAAGTCTCAGATAAAATCAAAATTGAAGTATGATTTTCTGCCTATTAATATTAGCTGTGTAGTCTTCTGCTGATGAAGGATTGAATCCTATGAACCAAGAGGTAGCCCCAACAAATTTGTACTAGGAAGGTCCCTTTGACCCCACACATTGGCGGTCATTCAGGGGGCACTTGGATAATGCAGGGAACATCTCTTTCCACGAGACAGTCCATAGGATCCAGCCTGAAGACTCTGAGAGGCTGGGGGAGCAGATAGCAGCACTCCCTTCTTGCCCAGTCTGACTTGTGCAACTATTGTACTATTAGCTATATCGGTTTTCACTCTGCCTTTGGAGAACCATGCTTCACTTGGCAGGGCTACCCACAGCTGCCTTTTTCTGCCTTCACACACTGTCAGTCAGTGCTACCTATCCCGTCTCTCCTTGGGTGCAATCCTATGGAGACAGTGTCTGAATTCAGTTTGTAAACTCACTACTTGGCCCCAAGAAAATCTGGTATGTTTGAAATGTATCTTGTATTAAATGGCTTTCCTTAATCTTGGCAGAGGTTTAATTCTAAAACCTCCTGTATCAAGATACAAAGGCATGGATAAGCTGTGTGAAAAGGGTTTATTGCAGTGTTTACATTGTGATGTGCTTCTTTCCCCCCTCAGATATAGGCTCTAATAACTGTGGCTATTATGACCTCCAAGCAGTGTTAACACATCAGGGAAGATCTAGCTCTTCTGGACACTACGTATCTTGGGTTAAAAGAAAACAAGGTACTGAAGGGACTTTAGAAGAAGGGGTTGATCATCTACCCAGCCTTTGAAAAGTTTTCATTTCAGGAATAAACTAAGAACAGTCTGTTTCTTATTGAGTTGTAAACGGCCACTTTTTCTCTCTTTCCAGATGAATGGATTAAATTTGATGATGACAAAGTCAGCATTGTTACACCTGAAGATATTTTGAGGCTTTCGGGTGGTGGAGACTGGCATATAGCTTACGTTCTACTTTATGGGCCACGCAGAATTCAAATAATTGAAGATGAAGATGAACAATAGACTTCATTTCTACTCATTTCTGCCTAGGTGTGAAATAAATTTCTTGACTCCAATCTCTCATTTGGAGCAGCAAAGAGGTGAAAGTCTGTCTGGAACTGATCTCTGCCCTAACGCCAGGGCAGCCACTCAGTATTTGATATTAATTTTTTAGTTACTATTTGCAAAAACCATTTTTTTAAACTATTGGTGAAATTCAAATCGGCCTTTCCCCCTACTTCTGTAACATTATCTGCAAGATATTTATTGCACACCTACTAATGCATCATTTGTTGTTAACTCTTGCATGGTTTCTACTGGTTCAGTAGCTGTCCATCCTCTCTTATTGTGTCTGACAGTTTTGTCAGAATGGTGAAAACTCAATTGTTGCCCAAACATGTAACTCAGCGCTGCTGCCCATACCCCGTGGAAATAAGGCTACAATCACGTATTTGTCCAGCCTGATCTGCCACCTCAGCCTGTTCTGTTGCTGGCATTTCATGACTTTAAATAAATGGTGATCAATAATATTGATGCTTATGTAAATATAGCTGCTTTTTGTCTTCTATCTAGAGCAGAATCGTGCATATCAATATGTTCAATTCTCAACATGGCCCTATCTTTGAACACTTAAATTGGAAACTGGTGCAATGAACAAACAACTCAGATCTTTCTACAAACTTGAGAAAAGCCATAGGTTTTCAGAAAAATCTGAAAACACCCTCCCGGTAGACCCAGCCTCCTGTACCTTTAAGAACAAATGTCTTCTGTGACCAATGCTCCCTCTAAGCTGTGGAGTCTTGTGAGCAAAAATTCTACTTTGTGAGTGAGCAATTTGGCTACTGCATAAATTTGCTCTGGAGCCATCCTTCCTGAACGAAGTGAAAACTGTGAGCTAGCTCACACTAACTCAGCTTAGAGGGAACACTTCTGTGACCATTGTGTGGTTTGCTGAGCAGCAACAGCACTGCCAGTTGTCAAGCCTTGGTTTCTACCAGTAAAAGGAGGGAGGCCCTGCCAGGGCTATTTTTACCTCCCAGGCCACCTCCGCTCCCCTCCCTTCTGGCTTGGAAAGAGAGCTCATTGGGGCCAGGCCCAGCAGCAAGGAGGGGGGAAAGAGGAAATAGTGTGGGGAGGGGATACAGGAGAAATTGAGGTACCTTCCTCTGCCAGTCCTTGCAAAGCCCTCCGCGACACATCTGGGCCTGGCACAGGCTTCTGGTCAGTACCACCATTTTCCCAAGGGGAGGAAATAAAGAATCTGGAAATGTGGAGAGGCTATGGGAACTGTCAGGGAATGGAGAAAGAAAATTGTGAAAAGGGAAATTAAATGCCCTCCCAAATTCTCGTGGATCCCCCACTTGTCTTTACTATAATTGAATAGGTTTTTTTATCTGTGTTGGTAATTTATACTATGGAAGAAATGCATTGGAATGTTAACCTGTTGTCCAGCTTAGATGGGGAACTAAAGAATAGAAAGTGTCTGGGTTGAACAAGGATCTGCTGTGGGACACAATGTTACTAGTCATCCCCCGCCCCCAGAAGAAGTAGCCAAAGAATTTGAGCTCTTATCTATTTTTAACTATAATTCTGTGTTGCATAGAAAATTTTAAAGCACAATTTTGTTCTTACTGTGGCTTAGTCTCTCAGAGGCTTATGGTGGAGCAATTTAAAAGTATTTTTTAATGTCTCTTCTCAGTCCAACACCTGGACATTTGTTCCATTTAGCATTCTATGAAAAGGGAACCTGTAGTGCAGGGAACCCTTTTGAGCCTGAGGGTGTTTTTGGAATTCTGACAGAGGGTGGTAAGTGCAACCACAAAATGGCCACCGTGGTGAGGGGCCAAGAGGACCAGTTTTATTAAATTTACTGGGAAAGCTGATTGAGAGAGAACAAAACCAATGCTGTAGTGGCAGCTGACATTGAAACAGTGTTATTTGATCTGCAGAGTCAATCAGAAGCCCTGCCAGGCAAGAGCCCCACCTGGCTCATCCTACTTCTTAATTACTGCTTTCAGGACCAGAGTCATAAACAGCAAACCATCACCCCCAAAAGGAGAGCCTACAAGTTACTACAAAAGTTATCATGTAATGGAACAACAGCTGCCACACACAAAGTAGTTTATCTCTGAGAAACCAAGATGATTTAGCTTCTGAAGAGACAAAGTCCTGATTAAATAATGGAGAGAGGATTCAGCTCTTAGATCTGAAAATCTGGGGCAATTAAACAAAATGATCCACAGAATCAATTCCATTGAATCTTCCTACCATCAGCCCTGGAAAGTGAGGAAGAGTTAGCTCAGATTGGCATTTTTGTTGGAGGGAGAATGCCTAATGAGAAAGATGAACACACTTTGCAGGTTCTAATCAAAGTCCCTCAAATGTCTTCCAATTGTTTCTGTCATATCATGGGTGATGCCCAAATATAATGTATGATCCTGTAATCTGTCCCAATCACTTGTGTGATGGTCCAGCCTGACTAGTCCAAGGAGGCTTGATTCTGGATTTTAGTATCTTAATTTTCAAATTGAATGCTGTGCTCCAGGCCTTTGCTTCAAAGGACATCTCCCCAACTTCAGCTCTCAGAGCTATTTCTGACACACACTGAGGAATTCCCAAAATATTACATTATATAGGAATCTTATAGCGGTCTATCAATGTTGTCTGTTACTGCTCTGATCCAAAGCCTGGCAGCATTTAGCATTTGCCCGGTAACTTTAACATTGAATACTTTAGCATTAACTATCACAGGAACATATTGGCCACTAGAGTAATAAAATCTTGAGATAGCAACTCTTACAACAGAGTTCAAGTGCACCTTCCAAGAAAAAATTGCTTGAAAAATAACTCCTAGATATTTGAAATGTTCCACTTGTTCCATGGATTGACCTGCCACTGACCACTTGTACTTCTTTATTCTTTGTTTTTTACTAAAAAGAAGAACATTTGACTTAGTAACATTAATAGCTACGCCCTCATTGGAGCACTACTCCAAAAAGGAACCTATAAGCTTATGTAGGCCAACCACAGATCTTGACAGAAGAATAGTATCATCTGCATATAAGAGACAGGGTAATTTAACATGAGCAAGGTGAGTGAAATTCCAGAAATACGAGAACTTTGAGATGTAAGTTAAATATCAATGGAGCTAGGATACATCCTTGACTCAATGGAATAGCCCTGGTCAGTTCACCAGATTGACCACTTATCAATACACAATTTATTCAGTTTGGTCCATATTTGCCTAGGCACTGAGTCAAAAGCTGCTCTGAGATCCATAAAGGCAACAGCTAACATACCATCTTTTGAGCTGATATACTTGTCTACAATAAATTGAAGAATATGGCAATGGTCCACTAACTCCTACGGAATCCAGCTGGCTCTTGACCCAGTACGGCTTCATCCTCAATCCAGAGAAGTTACTTCTTATTGAGCAAGGAAGTATATAGTTTGCCCATCATTGATTACAAACGTACGGGCCAATAATTATTTGGGTCTGTTGGATCACCTTTTTATGGATAGGGACTATTGCATGTTGCCAAGAGGTGGGCATAATTCCTGTCTTGTTGCTTTGAATAAATGTTAGTGCTAAAATCTCCACCCACCAGTTGGCATTTACTTTAAGCAGTTCTAAAGGTAATCATCAGGTGCTGGTGCCTTGCCAGATTTCATTTGAAATATTAAAACATTTTAATACTACGATGGGGCTATTTCTCAGCCTTTGGTTAAAGGACCATTTGGGTGGGAATACTTTCAGCAGATGATGTCACAAGTAAGGTGCTGAAATGTGCCTCCCGGCAATTAGTAAATATGTAGCAGAGGAGCAGGGATCTAGTGTTTAGCTCATTTGCAAACATCCCAAAAGATTTTTACATCATTTTGTTTGAAAGCCCAAATTAAATGTTTCCACAAGGTAACTAGAGCAGCTCTTTTGTTTTTGATAAGCATTCTGAATTCATTTTTCAACAAGGATATCCATGTATGCTTCTGTCATTGCATAATTTGAATTGCCAATGCATGCAGCAAATTGCCGTTTTAAATGTCCTACAATCAGTATTGAACCAATTATCTTGCCTGCTCTCGCCATGCAAATCCCTGACCAGACCAAAAGATGTATATAATGGTTGAAACAGTTTTATCAGTTTACTCATTACACCTAAGTTCCTCTCCCGGGAAGAATAGTGGAAAATTTAGCCTTAAGTTGACAGGCTTTAGGACAGCTCTTTTAAGCTGATTAATTCCTTCATAGTATCATTGTTCCAACACACTGATTGGACTAATTCTGGCTTAACTGAAGAGGGATGGCAGATTGAATAAAATTGCATTGTGAGATATTTAATATTAACTACAGAGGAAAATGATCACCCATATATTCTGTTGTCTCCAGTGAATCAATCAGATTGATTAGTTTATAATATCACCAAGTTTGCTCAATGACACTGGCACCACACTGATTAATACATGTAATTAAAGAGACTAATCTCTTCCCAGCACTGTTGGTCTTAATGTCTTTAGATCCTTTTGGCTCCAGAGAAAAATTACTTATTGACTGATGTTTGAGACTTTTAACAAAACGTTCTTCATAGGTTGCACCAGTCTGAGCATTAAAATCAACAGCCATCATGAGCTCAACTGACTGATACTTCTCTCCAACTTTCTGGATACAGATGTTCAATTTACCCCAATAATGCGCCAGTGCCGATCTATGTGTGGCTGGAGGGATATATGCATTAATCAAAATAAAGATGTCATAATTGCAGGAGTAAAGCCATCACATAAGGCGGTTCACTCGGTAGCACTGTTACATTGACCAATAAACTAGCAGAGATCAAACAGGCAATTCCTACAAAGCTTCAAAAGAGTAAGTGGTGAAGACAGATGCAGTTTGCTAAGCTGCCAGGTTTCTTGAAGAACTATACTGTAGTTGGTTAGAAATGGGCCATCTGGGCAAAAGAACGCGGAAACCCAGATGGCCCGTTTTCAACTCGAAATGCACTTTAATAAGACATAGAAAATATCGACTACATTATAAGATACTGCAGAAACCACTGCTTTTACTCTACAATGGACAAACCAGAACAGTGAACAAATACTAGAAGACACATACGGTATGTATGTATGGTCCTGTTTGGATGAAGCTTCGCAAAATGACTTGACAATCTGGAGAACTTTGTCGTCAACATTTTATACTCCTGGACCCTGTCTATGCTGTATATATTCATTTGCTGTATTATTATAGTATTGTAACTTTAGATATATAAAGGTCAGTTTAGCGCATTCCTTCAGCTCTTTTTTCTTATGGTACTGGTACTATGAGCTGAGATTCTCTAGTAGTATAGGTACTCTCTCCTGTCTTCTGCAGGGGGAGAAGTAAGATCTATCAATAATTCATTATCAACTAAAGACTGAGGTAGCAGATTGGCAGC